TTTTAAAGAATAACTTCAAACTAGAACAAGATTCCGATTTCTTTTTTTTTTTTTTTTTTGGTTGGAAATACAACAAGCTGAGCAGTGGGAGTCAGATCGAGTTTGTAACTCTAGTCCCACTCCTCTTGTTCAGGCACCAAATCTGACTCAGTTCGCCCTCCAGTGGTCAGTAACAACCGATGGAAAAAAAAAAAAAAAAAAAGCCCACACATCCTTTCTAACGTAACATCAAATCCACTTCCATATCAAACATGGCCTACGTCCGCTTAACCAGAGATAGAGCCTATCTCCATCGGTTCACCCTGGACATGTCGCCAGAAACACGCGGCCATGCACACCATCACCTAAAGCAAATTTAGAGAGGCCGATTAATCTAACGTTGATGTTTTTGGACAGTGGAAGAAAGCCGGAGTACCCAGAGAGAACCCACACAAGCACAGGGAGAACATGCAAACACCATGCAGACAGGCCTCAGGTCGAGATTTAATCTCAGATCCTTCTTGCTGCAAGGCAGTAGAGCTGCCCACTGTACCACCGCGCAGCCCTCCATAACTAAATGAACAACTAACATGTTACCTTAGAACCCGGTTGAATAAATGATACCTTCTATTTGAGTTTGATAATGAATGTGAATTGATTATCATGTAAGGAGAAAAAGACAAGTTTTTTTTTAGAAAATTATTTTTGTTCAATTCTATTCTAAAATGATTGAGATGAATCGCGTGTGTTTTTGTAGCCTGAGTTTCCTGCTCTTAGTCGACACACAGTCTGGTCTTCTGCTGCTGTTTGCGCGGAGGTTTACAGAGCTGTGGGATGGTATTCTGCATTTCTGCCCATTATTTTCTGACATCTGGCATCGACACAGGAGAGTTGCTGCTCATTTTTATTTCTTTTTTCTAACCGTTCTGAGCAGCCCTGAGAGATGGTTGTGCATGAAAATCCCAGCACATTAGCAGTTTGTCACACACAAAGACCTGCTGTGTTGTATGTTTGTAAACAACTGTGTACCTAATAAAGTGGACAGGGAGATTACACTGTTTAGAAAACAAACCAATCTTTTAACTACTTCTGAGTTTATGAAGTACTTAAAGAACCAAGTTTATTGTTTTGTATTTACTGGCAATTTAATTATGTCTTCCCCATTATTTTAGGTTACCAATTACTTCAACAAGATATAAAACAAAGTAAAAGAACATAAAACAAGGATGCAAGGTAAGATGTACTGCAGCGCAGAATTAACTGTTAAATGTTATTACAGCTCAGAAAGAATCGTGCAGAGAAATTAAACTTTATGACAGAGTTTTTGTTTAGGCTTGTTTGTCTTTGCTACTAACACAAGTTTGTGTTTTTTCTGCAACTTAGCTGAAATATGTTACTCAACAAAATTAAATTTCTAGTTATCTCAGAAAAATGTTAGTTTTTCATTATTTTATTAAATTGAAATGATAGATGCACCAATCAATCACCCAGATGTTGGAATTGGCCGATTTTCCCTTGATTAAGTTGACTTTTTTCTTATCCATGAAATGTATTACAACTGAGAGCTCCCAGCATGTTTTTGTTTTAAAAACACACTTATCAGCAGCATGGCTTTTTTTAGGAACCAATAAATTAGGATATGGGGTCCGATGAGACTTGAAAATAATCTTTAAGCAGGTATTAAACATACTTTTCATTATCACACCCACATTTTTATAGGAGAAATGTCTTTGTCATTCGTATGATGTAATATTCTAATCTTAAGATGTTTCATTAGCTGTAAGCAGAAAATCATCAAATTAACAGAAATAAATTAACTTTTAATAATATTACATTTCATTGAATATCCTGTTATAATATCCTCTGTTGGCTTTAAAACATCTACCTCTATCAAAGAACATTTTTTCTTTTATATGTAGAATAATAATTTGGAAAAATAAGTAGGAGTTAGTGAAAACCTACATTTATATGTCAGACCTCAAAGAAAACCAAACCTCACTTTCAGCCTGATCGGTGCATCCCTATTTAAAACAGTCACAGCTAACGGACAAGTCTGCAGTAAAACAAATATGTACATTTTAAAGGGAAGTGAGGGCTATTCTAAGTGATTATATTACTACAACGGTTGTTACCAAACAGAAATACAGAGAAAGGTATTTCAGCGAATCTAGCTCAAACTAACATTAGCAGCTACTGCGAGCGAATGTCTGCAGCTCTATAGCAGCGAAGAAACAGCAGTCTATGTATAGATGGCTTTCTTTAGGAGGTAGCATGAAGTAATGACAGCAGTAAGTATCCAGTCATTTTCTCTAATGCAGCCATCGCTGCTGAGAGCAGCTCACTGACCTGCCGTCTGTCTTCTGGTGCCTTCAGGAAAAGAGCGTTGATGAGAGCGATGGCGTAGGTCTGGATTTCCTGATTTGACCTGAGGAAATGTCCAGGATTGCAACAACCAGTTAGAAGCATCATGCTCCACAAATATACAGGATCTTTAAAAATAAATACATAAATAGGGTAGCAACTACTCTGACTACAAAAAAAGGGACTGATGGAGGCTTTTAGAAAAGCTTCTCTTTGACACCAAGATTTTGTTTTAGCAGAAATTTATTGCAACCGAAGAAAACAAACAGCATTTAAGAGGTGCTGCAAGTGTCTAATTCCTACAATGGGAAATCTTCTTCACGTATAGACCTGAGGCAGTCTTTCGAAAATTACAAACAAAATTTGTTAATATTAAGAGGAGCCATCTTGCTCTGGTGGTTCCTGGTCTGCAGTGTTTCTGGGGTGGAGTTAACAGAGTCAGAGATTGATGACTTGATTATACGTACAGATGCTGCTGCACACAGCTAGCATGCAAAAAGATTATTTCAAGATTACTTTTTTTAAAGAAGAACCACTGAGATTGGGACAAGAAGCCAGAGATTGGAAATAAAAGAGGAAAAGTAGTTACTATGGGTGTAACGGTACAGCTATCACAGATTGATCGGGATAAGATCAACAGACTCTGAATGTATTGTTACATGATTAGGGTCAAAATGAAATGCATGTAACTGGATACAGAGCTGACTGGAGCTGGTGAAATGGAATGAACCGGCTTGGTTTAAAATGAATCCAGCCCAAACTGGAGTCTGATTCTTCATAACAATCAACGGATCGTATCAATACATTGGTAGAATACTTTCAATAGTTAATTGAGCATACTGTACTGGATGACAAATAGGATAAATTCGAATGTATGTTTGATCAATGATTCTTTTTTGTAAAGTGCCTTCAGACAACATTTGTTGTGAATTATACAGTTTATATTACACATATAAACTGACCTGAATTGAGTAGCTGGATATGAATTGGACCCATTTCTCATGTAAAGTGCCTTCATATAACATTTTTTTTTAAATGTGATGCTGTACAAATAAGCCAAATTTAATTAGCTTGAAGTGAACTATGGGCTGTTAATTTGTACAGCCAAATTAACAGCCACGTTAAATTTGGCTGTACAAATAAGCCAAATTTAATTAGCTTGAAGTGAACTATGGGCCACGTGTCAAATAAGTCTGTTTCTAAAAACAAAACTAGAACAAAATAGTGTTTCAATAATTCGGCCTTAGATACATGCAAAATAGAAGACCGAATGGTGCAGAAATAACAAATAAATAGGCCAAAACAAACATTTGCTTACGCACTTGGTACAAAATTGCTTTAAAACTTTGTGGCGCTTGAAGGAAACTAGTGGCATTTCCTTTGGGTCTTGTGTGATAACATACATCTACTCTGCCAGGCATTGCAAAGCACACGTTACATGACAAATAATGGGTGAAAATGAGAAAGATACGACAACCCAGCTTGCCAAACTTCTTTCTCTCAGCTGCTGTACGCACTGGAAACTCAAATACACTCTGCAAACAACTGACTGAAAAAAGCATGGCCTCCAGCAGGTCTTCATTACCATCATTCCTGCACTAGTTTCGTTTAAAGTGCTGTATACAGTAGCTTAATGTACTCATTCTCAGTTAAGGCACTTAAAAAAGCAATAGAAACAAATCTTCTCTTCTACATGAGAGTAGTGATCACCTGTGACTCATTCTGATTTCATCTCTCTGTGTACCTGTGGGACATCTCTGTACTGTGGTAGTTTATTGTGCCGTTACACCCCCAGTTCTACCAGACTTAATACGGTTTGTCTTTTCTCGTCTAAAAAAAAAAATCCTTGTCTTTGGTGTCGTTCCTAATCGTACCTTTACATCGTTTTTTTTGTTTTTTTTACACAACTCATGTTACAACATTTTCCCCTCGTCCCCCCGCGAAACAGAGTGCAGGAAGCCCCTGTGCATGTGTGTGTGCTCACACTTGCAGGTGCCCGATGAGCTGTCCCACGGTGATCTCCTGGGCCACGCGGTGGTAGAGACTGTGGCTGTTCAGGACCATGCTCTCCAGGATGGCCAAGGAGCGCTGCAGGATGGACACATCCACCATGGGCTGGTTCACATAACCTGCAATCTGAGGAAATGCAGAAGCCGTGCATAAAGTTAAAAAGCTAGGATCTGTAAACCAAGACAAAATTCAAACGTGTTTATAAAAGAAAACTTCATAGCAAAGTTTCTTTTGAGTGAGTCTCAAGGCTGCAGAGCGGTTCACTGAGGAAAGCTACTCGCATGCACGCTGCAGCAGATTACAATCCTGAACATCGTCCACACATTTCCGGCATGTGAGCGAAAAGGACGGAAGGGCAAACAATCACACAAAACAGCGGCAGGAATAAAAGGAGAAAGACAGACGATCCTTGAAGTCGCAAACAGTTAACATGTACACAGTGTTTGTGTAAAATGGCCGTGAGTGACGTAAAATGTTTGTTCAATAGAGGAAGCACCTGTTTGATGAAGGAGAGGGAGATCAGATCCCAGGATACAATGCCGTGATCCATCAACTCCAGGAACGCAGTGAGAGTGAAGGCCAACATTTCCCCAAAACTTGGAGAGAAAAAACTCACAGTTAGTCCAGGATTTTTCAGAAGGTGAGACTTAAAAATGAAATATGCAAAAAAAAACAAAAAAAACTAATTGATTTCATAAACATGAAGGGCTTGAAGTTAGGTCTCAATAGTTGAAATGAATGCTTACTGGGTGCCACTCTCGACAAGTCGAGCCAGAGTCCCTATGCCTTCCATATTTATGAACTCTGCAGCAAAAGTCGGGTCTGCGGACAACTTTGCGAGCTCCTTCAGAGCCTCGAGGCGAGCATCAATACCATGCGACTGGATCCTCTCCAAGAGTTGACGAGCAGCACGAGCCTGGCAAAAGTCAAAACGTTCACTCATGCTACCGTTACCTTATCTCATTGGTTTACCAGAGATTTAGCTATGAGACTTTATTTTATATCGTACGCTGCTTCCACTTGTGGCAGAGGACAAAGACACCCCTGCAATGACTGCAGCACCAGACACAATTATTGGCACCCCTGCTTAAGACATTTATAAAAGCCTTAAAATAGCCAGTTGTTATGGAAACTCTGTGAATCCAATATCCTAATGTCTTTTGCTGCAGTTCCCTGCAGTGAGCTTCACAGATTTTTTCTTGCATTACTGTCTTTCTTTGACCATTCCCCGACATTGTTTTAAACTTTTGTATTGTACTTATTGCTCTGACTGTAGATACAGTTAGGTTCAGACAAGAAGCCATTTTCCTGAAGCCATTTTGCTACTGCGTGAACCTTTTCCAGGAACTATGGTTCTGCGTCAAATATTTACTTCTTTTGGTGACTCCTAGAGATTTCTGTTTCAGTTTGGTCTTATTCTATACATTCTCTGATTTATCTCTGTGCTTGGCTATGTTCACTGTGTCCTCTCAGGTTTAGCTGGTTTTCCTGATTGCAGTTTTTCCATTGTGCATACAGTCTGTAGCTATCCGTCATGTTTTCCCTCCTGGTAGATTTCCTTCCGGCTTGGCCCAAATCGCTCTGTGAATGTTCGCAGAATCCCAAAGTACAGCAGTGAACTTGACAAGCAAACAGATGTGGAAAAGGGAGCTAAAGCATCTAAAAATAAAAAAGTAAGCTGGAATGCAATCCTCAGCACCTTTGTTAAACTGGAGATAAAGGTATCAGCTTCACTCTCAGAGCACTTAGATGCAGGGCGGGATTAAAAAAGGCAGGTAATCACACATGATTACAGAGAGACGGCGACTAGTGCTATTAAACACGACAGACGTCCTCAACTCCTCTTAACCTTATGAAAGCAGCCTGTGCCCCTCGCGCCGTGCTAACTTGGTAAAGCTATAATTTTCAGGACTTGTCAGTGATTGAAGATTTTTAAGTGCAGTCTAAAGTAAAGTCTTGAAATGGCTACTGGTTAGCAAAAAGTACATAATAAACTATCATCATTAACATTTTATGCAAGTGTATGTTAAACAGTTTCTAACAAATTAAAAACAAATTCCATGGTAGTGAAAAAAATATTTCCGCCCTTACAGACTTCTTCTACTTTATTTACTTTTTTGCCACTCTTAGATATTTCTGATCTGTTGTAAATACAAAATATAGTTTTCAAACCCTGACTTGATTAATTACAGTAAAAAAAAAAAAAAAACGTCTACCTTGTTAAATAATTAATTAACTGTTATCAATTTTTTTTTCCTTCAACACCCACGCACATCCTCATTACTGCTGAATCTGTAGAATCAAAAAAATCACTTGAACACAATTGGTCTGACAACATTAAGTAGGTCAAAATTTCTCTAAGGAACCTCTTCAAAGGAAATTTGTAAGGAGTTTAATTTATAGCACTGCTCATGAAAACAAAGCGGACTTACCGGGGAAATTGCTAATCGAAGGATTGTCCCATTCTTAATGTCACCGCGGCTCTGAAAAATAAAGGGCAACTTAGGGTCAATATTGCTTCACCGTGACTTTAACACAATGTGGTGGGAATAAAACCTGTTCAGTGATGTAAAGCTGAGGACCATCAGCATAACGGAGAGCGAACTGCTCAGAGCCCGACAAAGACCACCTGAGGGCGCAAATATAGAGAGATAAAGTTAATACACGTTGATATTGATTTTAAGCGAGTAATTGCAAGTAGCAAAATGTGTGATTGTTAGAGAGCGCAGCATACTCGAGAGCGCGAGAACAAAAGGTTGGCCAAGTCAGGCCGTTCTCTCCGGCAAATGTATGTACAAGAGGGGCAAACTGCAACAGTGAAGGGAGTTTTCAGTGGGCGTTTGCAGTAAAAGTGCAAGGGATTTTCAGCTTCCAGTGGCAGAGGGAGGCAGTTTGTACGTGCAGGCATGTTCAGAGGTGGATTGGTAGGAAAAATGTAAAATTCGTTGTACATTTTTACCACACTACCAACGTACGAAGAAAACAACCCTAAATGATAAATGAGAGCATAAATGTCTACTTTCCCATAGGCTGATATACAGTAAGGGATGTGTGAGTCTTAAAGGTATACAGAAAACCCACTCAAATAGAAATCTGAATTTAAACTAAGGTAGCGGTACAACATTTGTATTCATTGGCTACTGGCGCTGTGTTCTTTAACTCTGAACCAGTAAACCATACATCATACCTTACTAATTTGACATTTTGGCTTGTGTATTTTATTCATATTTTATGTCAAAGTGAAAGGATTTTTATTACAGTTATCATTGTGATAATGACTACACTGATCCCCATCCTAAACTTGGCCCCATGCTGAACCAACAAAAATCAACACAAAATTAAAACCTCTGAAAAAAAAAAAAAAAAAATTTAGCAATTTTGCAAATTTTTGATAAACTAAAATACTTCTCCATCTTAAATAATCTGGAAAAAGTAAAATAAAAAACTGAAGGAGATCATTCTTACCCGTCACATACTTCCCGTATTATAGAGGACAAGGGTTTCTTCTGTAAAAGCAAAACACAATGAATAGATAAAACAGAACAATCTGTCTCAGTCACGGTAAATGATCTGAATTTACATCAAACCTTTCCAGTAACATTGAACACTCTCCCCCTTTTACACTCACAACTCAGGCAGCTTTGGTTAAGTGCAAGTGAAAGTGCACATCAACGTGTGACAGGAGGAGCAGAATCAAACCTACAACTTTCCGGTTGCAGGATGACTACCGCTGAGTCATCGATAAGAATGTTTTAATATTGACATGGTCTAAGTAAGGCTAAATCAGGCTTTTGCAACCTTACATATGCTTAACTGAAATTACTTTCCATATGCAAATTAAGGCAAAGAATTAACAGAGGCATTGAAAGTTTCTCTCTACTACATACCTGGTCCATCTCTATAAGCTGAGCATTGGCACCGGGCCACTCAATGGCAACCTTCACAATGTCAGCCGGGGGTGGCATACCTGTGTGTTGTGGTTAGAGCACCCTACAGGAAAAAAGAGGAAAGAATCCCTGTTGATCAGCATCAACAGAGATTTTAGGAGAATTAGCACCAGCTCTTCAGTGGCTTTGTAAACTGAAAAATTTAGCCGTAGTCATAACACCGAATGTAAACTGACAGACAACACAGACCTTGATGCACTTTAATAAAGAAATCAGTTCACAGTTAGGAAGATGCCTTGAAGCATAAACAAGCAATAATATGATAATTTCACTTTATTCTAGCTTCAAAATTACAACCTTAATCAAATAACCTGCAGCATATGTTTTCTCTTGTATGCATTCTAGATTTAAGATTAAAATAAATCTGAATCACTCAAAATTGGACTGGCAGGTCGTACGAAAAAACAAAACAAAAACGATCACTTATTGCTAATAGAAGTTCCAAGTACCGTCTCAAATCTCAACTCTAGTCATTTTGTCTCAGTTTTAAATTCATAACTTTACATGACTGGTCTTTCAAACACAGCATTTGCTCCTAATATACGAAATTAAGAACCACACAAACACCAGCAAGGCTGGAAAAAATATCTTGAATCTTTTTGCTTCTTTTCATACAAGAGTTCTTAAAAAGAAATCAGAATCTGTGCATCTCTAATAGAGGCAAAGCATCTTTTCAGTGCTCACATTTAATTACTGCTTAAATGTAACAAACCTACTTCCCAATCTGCAACAACAGCTTTGCAGCAAATGAGAAACAAGAGAACAACAGGGACCAGGTTTTTGGCACAAATAAGAGGGTTTGCTTTTTTCTGACAGAGAGAGGGAGAAAAGGAGAGAACACAAAATAAAAGATGACAGGCTCGCCTGATTTGAAAACTGTTTTCTGGAACAGAGAGAAGAAACTGCTGTTCTCCAAATGGCTCCGTGCATTCTGATTGCTTTCAGGATTAAATAAAAAAAACACTTTGTATGGCTCATTTGAAAAGATTTTATTTTTTTTATCACAGCTGGGTGGTTGGATTTAAAAAACAATAATTACCTACCCCAGAGAATTATCAATGATGCAGTATGATTAAGCTCTGCACCACAAACTTTGTAAGGCGTTTGGGTATTTGTTCTATAAATACCCTCCCCTGCCACTTTACAGTGATTGAGCTGTCTGACAAGCTTGCCTTTTGATCCACTTTGAAATATATATTTTTTAAATGTCCTAAAGGTATTTTGCTCTTTTGTGAATCCAGCATCATTACCAGCTCCACATGATGAAAACATCCTGGAAAGTTGGAATAAAAATTCAAGCTGTCAAATCTAGAATAACAAGCATGCCTGAGTGCTTTGATCTCCGTATCTCCGAGCCATGGGACTACTGGAGTGTGCTCTCTGTATTATCTGTCACAACAAAGCATAGCAGATGAACACTGGGTGATATACAGCACAAGTGCTTTAAATCATAGCAGTAAAAGACACTAAAGAGAAAATTTAAATTCAGATTCCTACTTGACAAAATTTAATTTTCAACAGCAATGTCTTGTCATCTACACTAGACACAAAAATGTCATCAGTGTCAAATGTAAGAGTTAGATGCAATTAAAAAGATAAATTGTTTCTCTAAATAACCTTTAATTGCTTTAAGGCGAAATATAATTTTTCAAATGGATGCTGACAACTAGCTTGGAGGCTTAACAGAGCAGGGAAAATAAAAAAACACAGTTTGTTGCATCAGCTCTCCTATTTCCCCAAACAACCATGTGTATGTCTCACTCTTCTCCATATCATTCTTAAGGTCAACTTCATAATTCCTAGTCAACTCTACTATCCACTTCACTGCGATGCCTGTGTGACATAACTCATCATCTACCCACTATTTTCCATTACGGGTCTCTGCGGATGTCCACGTGCAACCCGAATGTTTGTGACCGGGTTGGCTACCAGTACAAACAGGGACAACAAATGCTCTAAGATGGAACCAAACACAGCAGATAAACTACAGATCAAACCACGAGCACAAGAAAAACAACAACAAATATAGTAAGGAAAGACCTGCTGTTTTTCCTGTGTGAATAATTTATCTCACAGGCACAAGAAAAAATACAAAAACTCCATTAATATTCTGGTGAGAAATCGCTTTATTCCTTCTTTTCAGATCTCTTCTTCTTCTTCTACTCCTCTCAGAAGACGGTTTAGAAAGCAGCACATTATCACTCCCATCTGAGGGTGAATATTTAGATGTGCAAAGATTGAACGGGTGCACATGTTTGTCTATAAAGTCCATGCAGCTAGCATATTGCGGCACAGAGAATTAAACTACAATGCAGTAATGTAGCCATCAAACAGCATTCCAAAGACACAGTTTGTCAAGCCATTCAAAGTCTTTTACTATATCTCTAGTTAGTTTTCTCATAACCTATCGTTTGGAGAGACAGTTAAAATACTAGCATGAGAGTCAAATGTTATGTCCTTCATTTGGCTCAGGCACAGATTACAAAATATAATGTTGCTACAACTAATTATTGGAAATGTAAATAGTTTTCTCATCTGATAAACTTTATGCTCACAAACAATAGCCAAAGTCACTTCGGTTGGTATGGCTATAGCTACTAATAGTAGCTGCTGCATAAACTTTGTTGTGTCTTTATACCACAATTTTGAGTTGTTTCCAATAGAGATTGTTTTTGGTGAGTGGGGGAAAATTTGTCCTCACTATCAGTCTTAACTTTGTAGCACAAGAGCAGACTATCCTTTTTCAATTTTGTCTCTATCAGCCAATACATCACTTACATAGTCCTGATAAAAAGAGCTTCTAGACAAAAGGAAAACATATTTTCTGTCAACAGCCGTAGTGAGTGACAGAGTTCAAGAGAGTATGTAGTATTATGAATACAAAGTCATTTTCCTAGTGAGAGTGACATGCTTTTTGTTTTAGGGAGTATTAATTACCAACTGACTTATAGGCTGAACCCTGCTTACTATTATTAACAGCATTCAAGTTAATTGCATTTAAAATATTTAATGCAATTAATTTAACAGATAAATATTACAACAAATTATCTGTCAAGTGTTTTAAGGCAAAAGAAGTGAAATAGGGAGGTATATATAATTTGGCCAACCATAACAAGAAGCTGCTAAAATTTTGGTAAGTTCAGATCAAATCACAACATTAAATCATCTTCACCTGCAGCACTGGCCTGTTTTGAACAGTTCTGATGAAATATTTGTTGTCCTTCCTTGCAGCACTTCTGCAATATTGTGGATGACAGCTTACTGCTTTTCTCAGTATTCTCCCCAGCTTGTAGAGAAGGTACATACTCACAAGAATGATATTAATGCACTTTGAAATAGCAATGTAGTATTAATATTAATAACCTGTAATTAGGTTAGAAATTCTCAGGAAAATAAGCAGATGCCACAGCTTTTCTCAATCCAGTGGCAGCTGCACGTTTTGATCAAAATTGATTAAAATTTAAATACGGCCAGGATTATTTATTTAATTTCAACAATTAAATGAAACAAACTGACCATAGTAGAAAAAAAAGATATAATATATGTCTTTGATATACATTTAATTGTGTAATATAATATTTTATTATATTTCTTAATTTAATTTAAGAACGTCTGACAAATTTTTATTTTCAAAGACTTCAACCTTCTTTGCTGAAGGTTTTCTAAGTTATATGTTTATGTCCTTCAGGTAACCTTTAAAGAACAGTAACTGAATTTTCAAGTTCAGAGGTAGATTAGATAAAGGCTATGTAATCTTTAGGAAACCGTCAGGGAACGTTCCCTAAACGTTAGTAACCTGATGGGACATTTTGACTCATTTATACTCCTGTCAGATTCATTTAATTATCTAGTTTTTCCAGTTTTTTGATTGACTCTCTTGGAACTTTGCTCTGTGTTGAAATTCAGGTATTATTACAGTATTAATGTGAGGACTTTTGCCATAACAAAGAGTACTTTGGATGTAATATTAGGCATGATGTGAATAGGCAGTTAGATACTTATTTATTGCACTGCATAATGAATAAAGCTTTGCGTTATTTTTAACTGTACAGTAAGTCAAGCTATCATGTGGGTTGTGGACACTTCCCTAAGCTTTAGTTTGTCGATGACAACCCACAAACTAAAGTGATGGAAACTTTTTCTCCATTCCTTGTGCTGTCACTAGATTCCGGGCTTCCGCCATGTTTGTTTTCTTTTCCCCGACTGTTAATATTAATTTGGCTGCACGCGCTGTTGCGGTATCTTAGCAACAGTCGCCCGGGAGCTCCAGACTGAAAGGAAATCTGAACAGTGTGGCCTCAACTCAAAAGACTTGCTCTGTCCCCCACCAGCTGCTTTTCACTGCGGCCCGGATGTTTCTGTCGCCATTTTAGCATTCCTTTAAAAAGAAATGTGCTAGTGGGGCTTCCCACGAGGGGTCTGGATATAAAGAGGTTCTGACTGACGGGGGAAACTGTAGAGTGGGGCGCCTAAACTTTCTATAAAAAGTTAAAGACGATGCAGCTGCGCCCCCTCTGGCCATATGTTGTTTATTACGAGATCGGTGCTCTGGTAAGAGGTATATTTATTTTTTTTATTATTATTTATTTTTTTATTTTTTTGTAATATATACACTTGAGAAGATGTATTGGAATCAGCCGGAGTCAGCTGCCTACAGCGCAACATCAGCTGATTTCATGTCCTAATACTTGCCAACTTTATCTGATTACGACAGTCGTCTTAAAAGCGTAAATGGCACCTCTTTGTTTAGAAATCTTGCACCACTTAAGTTCTGGTAATGTTTGTGATCGATTACAGGTAATCGACCAGCCTTGACTGAATCAATGATCACCACAAAGAGCGGTGCAGCAAAGGTTTGCTTGTGTTCAGTGGAGAAATCAATCACAACTCGCCTCGCTGTCAGGCATTCAGAATGAGATATCGTCTCTCTTTGTGTGAAAGTGATGCTGTCGCTCACTATACTCGCTGTTACAGCGAGCAGCAGCGTTATTCCTCAAAAGGCGGCTCATGTTCCCACAGTCATCCATTTTAGCCTGTCCGCTCCTCCATTGCTGACAAGATGCAGCTTCGTCAAGGAGGCAGATGATGCCTTTTAGCTTCCCCCCTTCTGGGTTTAATCACACCGTACAAACGGGCTAATTTCATTCATCCGTGCTACTCACCCCGTGTCCGGGCCATCTATGGTCCACCCGGTAATCCCTGCGTCCCCAGTGAGAGACTTGTGGAAAGGAGACACGACTCCACGCCTTGTAGGCGGGACACGATCTAAATGTCACTGTCTGCAAATGAGGCAGACCCTTGTTCTTTTCAGCATGTGCGTGCGCTCACACAGACATCTTCCCCTCGTACGTAGACATGTACTTCTCTACTGACCACCCCGTCATAACAATTAAAGGGGTATTTAAGGCGGGATTATTATTTAGTCTCCCTTGGATGCATCATTACTGATTAAATTACTGGACCAAATGCAAAACAAAACTCAAAATACCTTATTAAAAGTTCAGCAAGGTGAAGCAAATGGGGTTCTCATTATTTTACAAATTAAAATCTGGAAAGTAGTCATATTTGAATAAGTACCGGTAGTTGTCACCCGATTTAATCTCATATCTAATACTAAGATTGTCGGTATAAACCCAGCTGTTCCGTGAAGGCCTCGGAGGTTTGTTAGAAAGCAATGAACAAACAGCATCATGAAGGAACACAATAGACAGGTTAGGGATAAATATGGTAGATCACACAATAATATCTCAAGTGTTAAATATCTCACAGACCACCAATATTATTATTTTCAATAGAAATAATATAACTGCAAACCTAACAAGAGATGACTGTACCTAATCACGCCAGCTAGGAAAGGAAAGCAAAGAGTTAACTGTACTCAGGAAAGCTGTAAGTTATGCACAGCACATCTGGTCTTTATGGAAAAGTGATAAGAAGAAAGTTGTTAAAAAATATATTCCTAATAAATCTTGTTTGAACTTTGCCACAGGGGAAAATAAGGTTTTTGAAATAGGGAGTAGATGAGTTTTATCTCATCTTGAGCAGAGGAGATAAAACACAACTTTTTTGGTCGGTATGCAAAATGCTAAATCTGACATTGCACATCATCCTGAGCACACCATTCCTACGATGAATGATGGCGGTGGCAGCATTTTACTGCGGGAATCATTTCTTCAGCAGGAACAAAAAAAGCAGAGGTTCAAACTTTCAGCAGGACAACCAAAAACATACAGACTAGGCTACAATGGAACAGCTTAGATTGATATTTTAAAGTTACTCATCACATAGGTTATCATCCCCATCTAAACTTTGATAATTTTACAAAGAAAGGACTAAATATTCAGTCCTTATAAACACAAAACTTGTATCACGCAAGACTTGCACTAAATGTGGCTCAAAAGGGTTAAATACGTGGACACCATGTTTCAGATGCATATAAAAGAATCATCATCTGATACTTTAACATAAAAAGCTTTTTCAGATAAAAAAAAATCTGGATTTTCATTGATGAAAATTATACATTTCAAGAAATGACTACACCGCAACACAGAATCACTCACGATACGGTTTTATTTTACACTGAACCATGTGTACAGGAAAAATTATCCACAGCCCTAACGTGATGGGTAACACAGGTTCACCTGATAAGGAATGCTGCTGGTGAAACAAGCAGACAACTGTACTCACTGAGGAAACAACGTCATGTATTCATAGCCACTTTAAATATCATGCATGACATCAAAAATAGTATTTTGACATGATTAGTTTCACAGCTACACACACACATACTCGATCTCAAATGTTGCACAGGCACAGATCAACTGATGCTCAGAGAAACGGTATAAATTAAATTACTGTAATGTGAAAAATAATCAGTTGTTGATTAAAAAAAGTCCTAACTTTTTACAAAAGTAGTTAAATGGATTTGATTCAACACATTCTGTATTTTATGGGGGGAAAAAGTGGGCTAAGCAAGACATTTGCTGGTTTAATGCTCTTGTGTCTTTAAAAACCAAAGTGTGGCGAGTCTTCCCTCAATATCCTCAATTTTTATAACGCCTTAAGAACGACAAATAAAGAGAAGTAATAGGGTCTTTACAATGTGTCAGTAATATAGCGGACAATAAGAGCAACATTTACTGAAATGTACACCTCACTGCATCAGAGAAAGACGCACACACAAGCAAACATCCATCATTATCAACAGAAAGTTACAAAGGCTTTTTAAGGCTTTAACACCTGACTGTACATAAACACGACTGCAGAGTTTAAGCAACACGACTGTTACAGGAGGGGTTTCTTTTTTTTTAAACAGCGCAGCATTGACACTGAAAACACATCAACACTGGAGACTCGAGTCTGCTGTCAGTCACGTTTTTAAACCCATACACACACACACAAAATAATAATAATAATAATAATCAATTGAAATCAAACATCAAAACAAAACAGAGGGACTTGAAAATAAGAATTGTAAAATGTAAACAATGGACTTCTCGGAGGTAGGGAAGTGGGTTTCTATTGAAGTTCCTAAGAATATTTCTTTTATAATTAAAACAGATCTTTAGGCCTAATGAGACTGTATCCTAAGCGCTGTAACAACTCAGTGGCATTTTTTGACTGATTAACACTAATGATAATAACAATAATACAAAGATCAAGAGGCACAAAATCCATTACAATGCTCATCATGATACAAATTAAAATTTTTATTGCACTAATAGAAAAACTAATCAAGTTCCATTGTGGTTTTGTTGGACCATTCAGAAAATGAAAATCCACACAGGAAATTAATTGTCCAATTAAATTTGCTACAAACGCCCCTTTTCACAATGACATCATGCCTTTTTGTTATAAGGTTAACTTTTCATAATGTACCTGCATCTATGATGATCACTGACTGCAAATGCCACCTAAGCTCATCCAATTTGCCACTGGAATAATTCACAAGCGTTTAAGACCAATGATACGGGCCATAGTGAATGTTAACAGTAATACTAATTTCCAATGTAACCATGAGATAAAATACCTCCTGAGATGGTGTCACAAATGCTCACAGATTTGCTGCTTTAAAACAATCCTTGTGAAAATCTAGTGTACACTCATCCCCTGGATCCAGTTTCTGAAACAACCTTCATGCACACGTACAGTACTAGGAGCGCTTCCCTGCAACAAGACGTCTTCACTTAAAATGATCAATATGATGCAGTTTTTTCCCCAAAGGTCTTCAAAACATAAAAGTTGAAAATGAGGATAAAATGATGTCTGATTGATGATACAAGTTTGTTTAATTAAAAAACCGTGATTTGAGCGGTAAAGACGGAGTAATTTTGACACATTGTGTTCATTTCAAGCAAATGTTAGAAAATGAAAAACTAAGCATAACAAAACGCATAAAAGCCCCAAAATAGATCTTGATAGCTTTGCAATGATGGACAGTTCATCTGATAATTAAATCGGATTTTCAGTTGTACTTGTGTTGCATTTTCTATTAAAATGAGAGAACACCAATAATTTATCAGGTGTCTAATGATGGTTTCATGACTCAAAGTGTTCAGGCTCACTCTATGCTAAACTGGAGGATGCACAAGAACAGTAAAAACATTTAACCCACTAAGAAACAATTTTCTCCTATGATTGAGAAGGAATTAATTCAAATTGTACAGAAACATTTAGATGTTTTAGTTGGTTTTTTTCCGGTATCTTAGCAACACCAGCCAATTTTCACATGATCCTTTTGTCTCATTTTCTTGTCCAAATCACACAACAAAGGCATTCTGCGGCTCTCAAATTTTTTGATGCAGTTTTGGGGTCTCGATGACTCAAAACGACAAATAATAGATCAAAGTATTGCAAGATTTTAATTTCTGATAAGTTAACCACCTGTAGACAAGCTCTTAAACTGTTTTATTCTAATTTATTTTAAATCTGTGAGCATAGTGCTAAATGGGCATCAGGTGCTCAAAAATAATATTTTGACTAAACAGAAAAAATATTGTAATATTTACAATGACTCATTTACAATACCAGATTTTTTTAATTCCCATGCGATAATTTCAGTGTTGGAAAAACAACAGCATTGCCAAACCACTTATTGTTGGCACACCGCTTTATTTTACTTTACAACCAAAACATGTTGGTAATCCATACAGGAAGTCATGATTTTATCTACACTGAGTAAAGGTGACTCTTTGAGATGGGGCCAGTTCCTAATAAAATATAACTCTGGCAGTAAACAGTTCCTTTAGGTGTTCATTTGATGAGCTCAAATCTTCCCCGGGTTTCATTGATTAAATTCATTCTGAATGCATAAACAGGAATTAAGCTAATGCAACTCTCTTCCAGAAAGTGCAAATGAGATGAATAACAGGAGAGAAACTGGCACAAGGTGGAAAGGGGGAAAAAAAAAAAAACCTTTAGGTGATGTAAGTTTGTGAGGCAATCACCAGCCTGCATTATCCCAGGCTTCTTCAGCAGGCTTCGAGGGACTCTTCTTTGTCTTACCATCCGCATTCTCCCAGTTGTTGTCCCAGGCCTCCCAGCTCTCCTCTGTGCTGTGTTTGTTGTTGGAGGCTCCTTCAGAGCCCCAATTGTCCCAGCTGTCAGAGCTCTTCTTGGCAGAATTATCTGCCATGGTCCAGCTGTCACTGCTGGGAGATTTCTTCTCCTTTAAGGAGCTGTTGCTGCCAAACGTTTCCCAGAAATCCCTTGACATGGGTTGGCTGGAGCTGCCTTGATACCCCTCAGTAGCATCCATGTTCTGGTAGCTCTCTCCACCAGAGCTGAACACAGAAGAAAATTAACAATATTAACTGAAAGACCATACTATATTATTAGAATAAAGTACTTTGGGTGAGGGTTTTAAGCAACTTTTGCTATATCAAATTTTGAACAGCAAGTTTCTTCAGTAGTGACCTTTTGAGGAATATTCTCCTTTTGAAGGTCACCAATGACAACTGGAATAGTTTGTAGTTGTCATGACTGCACCATCATAACATTTCTATATTAAATTTCCTTTATTGGTTTTATTTGATGTTCTAATTTCTGGTCAGCTAATCTGTGAACCATAATAATCAAAATGAAAAGAAACATTTCAAATGTATCCCTCTAATTATTTAATGTCATACAAGAGTTTCAATTTTAACACAGAATTACTAAAACAAATGCACTTTCACTACATTTTAAGTTTCTAAAATGCACCTTTAAAAGAAGGCAAAGATATGACGGTTAATTACCCATCTTGTGGTTTTCCAGTAAACAGGTTTGTCAATTTTGCTCCAGCTCCCTGAACCTAAACAAATGTAAGACCAAGTTTAAATCCTGACAAAAAAAAAATTGTAAAAACACACAGTAACAATGTAAACTAGAAACAAAAAATACATCATGATTTACACAACACATTAAAGTTATTAAATTAACTTAAACATTGCCGTTATTGTTTAACTGTTCAAAAGATAAAAATTGTTTTATCAACATTACAGGATTCTTTTTTGTCTACAGTGTACTCACCGTCAGAACATTCATGGCAGCAAGAAAAACAAAACATCACATTTAATTAGCATTGTTCAGGCTTTTATCGTCAGTGCAAAACCAGCCTCCTCAGGCTGTTGTGCAAGTTTTTGCTCTAAAGTCTCTTTTTGAGGTGGGCAGCCCTCCATCAGTCAGTCAGGAGGCTGGTTTTGCACCAGTACGTAGAGGCAGAGGTCTGCCCATCATACCTTGTTCGCCAGCCCAGTGATGCCGACTGTCATTTCATCTATCAATTTGCCATCTTTGACCTGGATAAGCCAAATTATTATTAGAAATTTTGAAAAACAGAAGCAGTCATTTACTGCACACACTGTTGTAGCAGCAGTAACATTTGGATGAGAAAAGTGATTGGTTTAGTTGATAGCACCACCAATTAAGAAGGCAGAAGCCAGAAAGTAATAACAGTTTTAAATAAAGCAAACACACAATCACTACAGACAGCCAGAATTAGCAATGCCAACTCTACATTAGAAGACAAAATGATTTTGTCAAAAGTGTCAATCAATGGGTTTCGGAATAAGCATACCCTTATGTTCATATCTTTCCATACTTGGACAAGTAAAGGCAATTACCGTATTTTCCGCACTACAAGGCGCACCGGATTATAAGGCGCATAGAATAGACGCCTCATACTCTATTATTACACATCCACATTTATAAAGAAATGCCCCCGAGTACTTTATATAGTAGGCTGGCCCAGTCGTTGTTTCACTCACGGTGTTGGGGTTGCGATATTGTGCCCAACTGCTTTCTGGGTAACACAGACCAACCGACATGCTGCAGAGAGTCTCTGTCTCTCTTCCCCTGCCCCTCCCCCCTTTAAATGTATTATCAAACTTTATTAACAAACCAGTGTTCTGACAACTATCCCAGCATGCACCGCGCACTACTTCTTCTACGGGGGAAAAAGAAGTTGGCGGCTGCTTACCGTAGTGGACCAACTACGTAAGCAGCCTACTGCATGTCTGTGTAAACATGACGTCTTTCATTTCGATCTGAGTTAATTAGCGTAGCATTTCTGCCGGATTTTCACAACATATCAGCCACGACAATGGACAGGGGAACCAACAAGTTCATGTCATCTTTTTTGGACGACATCAAGGTGTTTGAGCGGATGCCTCCAACATTGTGCGCGTCACAGCTAAAAGCTACCGATAGATGAGGAAAATAGCAGATCCTCATTCCCTCAGCATAAATATAGCTGTGGACAAGATCACTGATGCCTACTGTTGTTGCAAGGCTGGGTAAGTCGGCATTCATGGTTTTGATGGTCCACAATGTACATTATCATATGTTTACTACTGGAGCTTGTGTTTGTGAGACGGTCACGCACGTGGTAGCTGCGCTGTGACGTAAAATGGGCATTAGCCAATGAAACGCGGCCCCTGTGGTAAGGTCCGTTGCTAGACCTGTTGTGGCTCAATATTGGTCCATATATAAGGCGCATCGGAGTATAAGGCGCACTGTCGGCTTTTGAGTAAATTGAAGGTTTTTAGGTGCGCCTTATAGTGCGGAAAATACTGTACTTGATTGTACTTGAGAAATATAAATTTTACTCTAAGAAGCTTAAAATAAGACAGTTCCAAAATTTTACTCTTAAACAATTCAAAGCACTCAAAATGTGACTGCATAGACAGTTTTGCAGACATCCACAGATACTGGCAGAAGATGCATTTTTATACTAAAGTCCACAGATTTTGTCGTTTAGTGTAAGCTGGCATCGAGCAGAAAAACTGGCAGAGACGAGCAGTGGCGGAAAGAGCACATTCACATCTGAAGCCATTTTTGTCTAAAAAGCACTGCAACCCACCACCAAAGCAGCGACTCTGAACATCAGCGTTACCTTCTCGTGGGTAGGTTTGATAACATTCTCATTTATTGTCTGTCCTAACTCTGTGGCCTAGTTGGAAGTCAAGAGAGGAGAGTTCGCTTGAATAAAAACATAATTAAAGATCCACATTAGCGCAACATACTGAGCTGCTTGTCCTTCAGCTGCATGTAAACACCGAGCATTCACAATGACACTGAAAAAGCTCTAGAGGGAGTAATGGCACAAAGGGGAAAAAAAAAGCTTACATCAGCTTGCTTTTTAAAGGCAGCACTGCTTACTGCATACCGATTCATCTCTGTCCCTCATCAAACACAGGCTGGCATTTAAGGTAGACATGTAATCAAATATATTCTGAGAAGTAAAACGTTTTACAGAACGTATTTCTAAAGCTCAGAATCCACTCACTTTCTAAGCTGCTTTACATTATACCCTTTTCTATGATTTATCTTTTTTTTTTTAATTTACCATAGAATCTTTAGCTAATTTTTATTATGTAGGAGACTTTGGTTCCCAGTGGTTCTGACATGATAATGATAAAAGATCTTTTTCCTCCCCATCATGTTTTTTGGGGCTTTCAATGGCTAAAAGTGCCACAATTCAACACATAAAACCACTCTAAAAATCAGAAAAAGTGTAAGTAAACATTGTAATTTATTTAATGCGTAGTTGATCAACTGTAAAGACTGTCTACTCAGCTTTGTATCCGTTACACATGCCAAAAGACATAATTATTTCAGTTATTAGTTAACAGTCATGTTGCAGCATATCATCAATTTATTTCAGTTTGCCAGCCTTACCCATCAATATCAGTAAGTGAGATAGACAAGGCTGAGATGGAAGCTACAGAGAGTTAATATCAATAATATTTATTTTTGGGGAAAGGTGACAATAGACAATAGAAATAGAAATTAACCCCATAAATAATTATTTTTGCAAAGTATTTATATTATTCTGACACTTTGGGCCCGTAACACTGGACAATAATTTATTATTAATTATTATTATTATATGTACAATGCGCCCAGCACTGCACTGAATGCACTGCAGAGTAACATGATAATCCTGGGGGCTATAAAGAAATGTTTTCACATGCCAGAGCACATCTTTACATCTTACATCTCTTGTAATGGTTGTAAAAGACAATAAGAAGTCATGCATAAATGGATAACCCATTATGTATGGAAGTGAGTGAACAGTGGCTCATATCCATAATAAGGGTGGGAATTATTTGCAATCCTTATTTAATATTACCGTTTATGTCCCAGTAGACCTCCTGCATCAGGACATAAACTCAAGGCACCAACACAAGCAACTCTTAGTGTTAACAAGCAGAAGCACATTAACACGTAATTCAGCAACATTTTGCACAATGGTTCTCCATTTAAAATTTGCTTAAAAAATAAATTTAAAAAAATGCGGCAGCCTTAAATAAATGATGTGCAAAAACGAGCATGCAGCTATAAACTGCTTTACCGGTTCAGGGGGAGCTTTATAGCCCCTCAACTACGTCCAAGGAGGGCAGAGAGATATTAGTAATAACACAGTTATCACAGCCTAACATGTTCCACATACACTGCATAATAAATAGCCAGTAAAGTACTGCATGTCCATGCCATCAATCTCAAGCTGGAAGGAATATTTCAATAAAATCGACTGAAAAGCACAAAGAAATCTTTGGCTTTACCAGGCTACTTGAGATGCTACTCTTACCTTTAAAGTTGCTTGGTTTGCCAGTTTTGTTGTCTGCATAAGTGCATAAAAAGAAACAAGATAATGAGTTTCACAAGTCTTCAAGGGGAGATGCGTTTAAACTCCAGCTTTATGTGAAACATGTTAAATTACGTTATCTTTGGCAATTGAAGCAATTTTGGTGGCACCAACAGTAAAACTGCTCCAGCCCTGCAAAACACAAAAAAATAATATTAAATAACAACAGAAGCGTAATAAGTAATCTCTAGCAAAACAAAAGAAAAAGTTAAATATACAAAGACTCACTGAATAAATTGAAGACATTGCATTGTTCAAGAAGTCCTCATCCTTCTTCTCTGGGGTTACAGTGTTGCCAAAACCAACATATCGATTCTCTTGGTTCCCACTGTAGCCTCCCCCACTGAGGAACAGTAAAGGCATTTTACATAAAATTACCAACACATAACCTGATGTGCACAACAAACCAGGATGAAATGAGACAGGAAAAATCTTACCTTTGATAAGAGTTGACGTCGTCACTCAACCAATCCTCGAATGCTTTGTCACCAGAACTGACTGGATTCTGTCCAGATCCCCCAGATCTGGATTTAAATAGCATACACCAGCACATTTAATGGCTGCTCTGATTCAATAACAACCAGCATTAATGTGTTCAAATTGTCCAAATTACCGGTGAGACGAAGAAAGGCCTGACTTGGGTTGAGGAGGAGTCCAGTTTCTGGCAGGGGACGTATCAATGGACCACTCCTTCCCCTCAGCTAATGTTGCTACCTAGAAAAGTCAGTCAGGACTGAATTCTTTCGGCCACAAGACAAAAGTGTACTCATTTAATTAATTTATTATGTCTTGCAAAATGTTTTTACATCAAAACAGTAACTACTTTATTGTAGTTTAGTGGGATTTTATGTGACAAATCTAAACAAAGTGACAGATGTGGAGTGGTTACCATGAATATTTTAAATTTAAAAAATAAACATGCAATTTTTACTGTGCATTGTATTGAATTCAGCTCCATTGAGTCAACATGACATAGAATCATGTTTTGCTACAATTAAAGAGGCAAGTATTTTGGAAATAACTCAACCAGTTTCATACATAGAGACTTACATAGAGACATCCTTCTTTTTAGCAAAAGAACTCAATCAAATTGAATACTTTAAAATTCCCCATAACTTAGGCAGTTGTCCAAAAAGTATTTGTACTTTATTTTATTTAAAGGAATCCTATTAAAAGGGGCCTAATTAAAATGCAGAACAGAAATCTTATTTTCTTTGGTTAATCATCTACAATCCAGTCACACGTCACATTTTGTGGTAGTAATTTCATAAAGTGTTAAAAAGTTAAAGGAGTGGGAATGATTTTGCAAGACAATTTACAAAGCTGTTTCATTTCCAACAAATAAATATTTAGTAACATAATTTCTGTTTAAAAATTGAAGTCCAAGACTAGAAAAGAAAAGTGCAATAGGATGCTGTGTCCTTTCCAGGCCAAATGAAAAGTTTTAGTTATAAAACGTTGGTTTTGTGCCGCTCACCTTGTCTCTGAAGAGAGCAGCAGCTTTGCTGTTGTACTTCTCCTGTAAGGTCCAGTTTGGGTCATAATCGTCTTGGAGTTCTAGAAACAGGCGGAACTTCCCATTTCCACCAGCTTTCATTTTCTCCAGTTCAATATCTTTCCACTTGTCCATGGTGACCGAGCGCACAAAGCTGAAGAGAGGGGACGAATCAAAGGCTATAGCAATATGCTCTGAAACATCAGGAAAATCCCTAATGATCCGACATGAGCCAGGCAGATTTTAAAATATTATATTTCTCGATTTAACAAAAGCATGATGTACTCCACCCCTCTTACCTGAGGTGCACTCCCAGGCCTCTGTGCTTCCCAGAGCACTCCAGGCAGATCCAAATGCCATATGTGACACTAACCCACTGAGGGTTAAAAGCCCCACACTCAAAACAAAGCTGCAAAGAAAACATTAGAAAATGTCAGAGAGCTACAATTTAAAAAAAAATGCTGCATGGTGGTGCATCAGCTTTTTTTTCCCCCAATCTAAATTTTCACAAAATAAAAATACTGACAGTCTAGTCTGTATTTCAGAATACAGATTAGGTGCAATAAAAGTATTTTTGCTTGGTTGTTTTTGTTTTGTTTTTTACAAAAGTTATAAGACAGAAAAATGTCTGCCAAAGATGACAGCCAACCAAATGTCCACTGGCAGAACAATGACCATCAAAAATTACTTCTGGCTTATTTAGGCACTGATGAAAGGACCATCAAACGCCTTCTCTACAACACAAAGACAAGCTTCGTTGTAAAGTTTTCAGTACGGTAAAATTAGATGTCTTTTCTTGGATGAAATCAAATCGCACAAATACGCCGATGTGTGACGACTTACATTATTTTCATCTTGGGTTCTCACTTCCTTCAGAACTCTTCTGGTCCTTGGACTCGCCATGATGACACTGAAACAAAGTTTGACCAGATCTTTAGTACAATAAGTCATATCAAGTTTGAACTACTGCCTCAGTACTTTAGTCATTGTCATTACCACTGACGTACAGTTGATGCATACTGAAGTTGCACATAAGCAATGTGATGGTACAGGTTTATATTTATAAATTAGAATATAATTGAAAGGTAATTTATATCAGCAGTTCAATAGAACGGTAGAAACATAAGGACAGTAGGTCCTGAGAACCAGGACTGAAAACCAACGCAATCACGAGAAAGACAATTGAATTGACAGTTGTCCAATAGACACATCAACTCTCTCCAGAAGATCAGTAATCCCAAATATTATTGCTGGGGAAGCTGGTTATTCACAAAACAATCTGATTAATGCAAAGTTGAGTGGAAGGAAAAATTGTGATGAAAAAAAGTTCACAAGCAGCAGAAAGAACTCCAACCAGGAGTCAGTGATTATTTGTGGTGTCATATTATGTGCTAGTGTTGCTCCGCTGTGTTTTCTGAAGTCCACAATCAATACAGCCGTTTATTATTTTAGAGCACTTCATCCTTCCCTCTGCTGGCAAGCTTTATGGAGATCCTGGTTTTATTATCCAGGATGATTTGGTACCAATACTTGCTTTAACGATGATGGTGTCACTGTGCTTGATTAGCCAGCAAACTGGCCTAAAACTCAAAGAATATTTCTCATCCTCCCAAGAGTTAGAAGAGTATATATCCAAAGCCAGCTAAAAGCTAATGCTATTAAAACATCCAGAGCTTCGTTAACAGCTGCCAATCTCTGTACAATCTATGAACTCCTTTGTTGTTAGACCAACATTTTGGATTTATTTCGTTAAATTGCTTATGCTCTATTCTAATTTTCTGAGAAGCTAAATGTAGGTTTGTTATTGAAAAAAAGTCAAATTAATATATTATATCTTGGGATGCACTTACGCCTATTGCAATAACTAATTTATCAATAATCATTTCAAATCAATAGTCATTCTCAACAAAAGATTCATTATCACAAGTGAATATTTATTAGCCGTAGAATGAAGTTTAAATTTAAAACTGAAAAGTCAAGGTGCTTTTTTCACATAGACTGCAGTGAATTCATTAGAGGTGAATTGGCATAAATTACATCACAGTTCTGATCCAAAAGATATCCAGGAAATAACTAGTTTTCTAGCTGCAGATCTGAACACAGGATGCACCTTCCTAACCTGGTAGTTCTATGAGAACGAGTCAGAAACTAGGAGCGGCTGTAAGGGAATACAGGTTCCTAATGTCCTCAGGGCACGAAAGCAGTTTGGAGAGTTTCGGCTCTTTTAGGACCTGCAGCGGTACAGACTGCCTCTAGATCTATTTCAGGAAGAGGAGGAAGCAAGTTGACAGCTCGCTGGCATGTCCAGGAAGAGTCACAGCGAGGCTCGGAAAAAACGAGAACCACCCTCAGGTAGCAGGTCACTCCAACAGAACATTGTTTCTGTGAATTGACAGTTGTCAATGTGCTGCACATAAGAAAATGTTAAATTTCCACACATTGTAGGCTCTATTTTTTCTCTCAGATAAAAACAGCATGTTCTTGCACGTCTGGTTGCTTTATAAGTTCAGGAACTTTCTGCTTTTCTGACTCTTAGTGATAAATTGAGGATATTTCATTCTGCAGTTACTGATGCAATATTTCAAGCTCAAATGTGGATGCACAGAAATAAATTAGGACAAATGGTGAGTCTTATTAAATTATCAATCTTGGAAATTACACAATATTTTAAATATTTAATGCTCCTCCAGTTTATTCAGGAGCAATATCATAGATCTTTCTTCCTAGTTGTACTGCCCAATCCCTTGTAAATAACTTTTATATGCACAAATATAAAAAATAATTATCCAGTTGTAGAGTTATTGTTTTAGTCTATTGTTTCACTGTGGTATGGGGAACTCTTAACGTACACAGTGTGCTAGCAGAAATACTATTTTGTAATCAGGGTGATTTTCCCTTTTACCTGTCATAAATGGTGAGGAAATCTATAAACAATGTTGTTACACAAAGCTGCTGTTTCTTCCATCTTTATATGAGCATGTTTACAGTCTTCTTTCATTTACACAATAAAGATCTTTTTCTAAAAAAAAACAAAAACACTGCAGTTTGCAGAATTTCCACATTACTTCGATCTAAATGGGGTTATATTTGAAGCAGAAATAAATTTAAGCAAGTCATCAGTAATATTTATTACTACTATTCTCTATGCCTCACATGTCTTGATCATTTTCAGTCAAAAAGAAAAGTGCAACCAAATCCACTTGCCAGAAAAAGTTAAAGGGGAAATAAATATTTGGAAGGACTCAAGTGCCACATGTGATGATGACTCAGTCTTTGCTTTGCAGGATGAAAACCACAATGTCAGTCCGGTCCCTCAAGGTGACAGGATGAGAGTAAAAGAGTAAGTTGTTTCATGTTCCTTGTGAAAAGATTTTTTTTTTTGGGCAAGTATAGCAAGTGCCACTAATGTGATTTTCAAATTTGTTTGCTACACAATCAACAAATCGTTGTCTCCATACTGCATACAGCTGAAAACAATTGAATGAACATGCTATAACATTATGCCTAAAGTGAAGTAGACAAAACCAGTGACCATCAAAAGCATGAATATGGTGAAAAAATAAAAACATGGTTACATATTGAGCTTTCATGCACTTATGTTAATTCTAATCTAGTTCTAATTCTTAAAAAATGACACACATTTTGTTGCATCCCCATCTTCTGAGAGAGTAGGGTGATAAACAGTCTCTGCTGATGTTATTGGTTTGGAAAAGTGTGTTTCTTTAAAGTATTTTAATTAATGACAAGACTAACAGAAACAAAATGATAAAAACTAGCTGAGACAATAACCAATAAAAACCAGGAAATTTGGAAAATTATTGTTAACATTTGTTATTTCTTGTTTTTTTTTCTGTTAGCATATTTTATATAATATTATTTCCAGGTACATTTTACTCTTTTCATTGGATTTTGGCTCTGGTTTTTCCTTTAATTGCATTGCTTGTATATGCATGTTCTTATTGGAATTATTTAAAAGGGTTAATTTTACCTAAATTAGTTTAAAACTAAATAGGACAAACAGCATATGTTTGAGTCAGTAATAATATTAAAATTGCACCAAAAAAAGATAACATTTATTTTGTGTAATTGTTATAACGTCCGCATTTCAGAAATTATTTTAACCTGTTTTTATTTGTCTTAAAGTACTAATTGTCTAGCCAATGAATCCTATGTGCTTTTAGTTTATGTAAAGAGAAACTAACAACTCATGATGAGCTTCAATCTTCTATCACAGCCCCCATCTTTAAAACTACATTTGAAGAAAGTTGATGATTTTAAAAGTGAATAAAAATAAATCGTTTCAGCCTGGCTTTTGTTTTAATCCATATATTTTTTCTTTATTTACTTTCTGTTTTTAAATATAGACCTCAAAAAAGAAAACCAGAAACTGGTATCAACCAAAAACAGCTTCGTTTGTGCATCTCAATGAAAAAGTATGAAGAAACAGATACACAAAAACAAACAGCTGTCAGTTTCTGATTTAATCATCATCCAAAACACAAATTAATAAGTGTCCGTGTAAAGACATCAATAATGTGGCTTCTCATTTTAACACAGTTGTTTGAGGCTTTCATCATAAACACTTCTGTAAAATCCAGTGTTTACAGACAAGTCAGTTTGGTGGTGAGAAAATGTTAAACATTTTCAGTCATGTTTGCAACATGACGTGAAAATCACTGTCATTTTATTGGCTTGTGCTCTGGTGTAGTCGTGTCAAGGCTTTTTTCTTTTTTTTTTTTAGTGAAACAAAACTACATCACTTTAACTCATCTCTTTTGTTTTCGGGTTAAAGTTTCATTTATCACGTAACATTTAAAATCCTGATTTCCAAACGCACGTCAACCCAATAATATTTTTGCTGGCTGGAGGGTTTTTTTTGTGTGCTAACATTGAGCTAACATTGAGCTAACATAGCCCTTACCTGACTGGGACTGATGAACAACAACCGGGACGCTGCTTTCAGAGTGTGGACGCTACGCGGCTGGACTATACCGTGGGGTTTTCTTCCGTGGCAGATTCACGGGCTGTCACGGGCTGCGTGAGGCTCACAGAGGAGACTAATAAAAAGTACCTACGTTAAAAACCGGTGGCCATGTTCCTGTTTGCATACGTTGGCAGAGCAATGCATCACGGGACAAGCCTCAATTCTTCTTCTTTAAGTTTAATGTGGGAGGGTAAAGCAGAAATTAAATGTACTACCGACACCCGCTGGTTGAAATGTGTTACTGCTAACAACAAAAACCATTCGGTTGATATTTACGGTGAAGCAAACCATATAACGTTATTTGGAAGTAAATATGTGCCATCATGAGCTGAGAAAAAGTTACAGTTATGTAGAGACAGTGGTCTTTTTTAAAAATAAAGTTTATTAACAATTCAAGTAGAACATAGACTACACTCACAACAAAACAGATTTCGTAAATGATGTATCGCCACCAAATATGGGAGAAATTAAGGACGATGTCCTGAAGGTTCAATACTCAATAAAATATTAAAAAGAATCTTTTGTTTACCCTATACACAACAAAATATAAAAAAGCCTAACTATGAAAATGTACATTTTTAAATGTGTTCAACTTAGATCTTAGCTTTTGAATAATGTAATGCAATGTGTAAATAATAGTGGTAATATAGATAATGGAATATTTTATATTATATCCATCTTCACATCTGAAGAATAATTGAGCAAATTAATTGAGCTATAAATTCAATGTGTTTTTACTATCCCAGATTTTATACCAGACATTCTGTCGTCTAATAAACCAAAATTGGAGTGCTTGCTAATAACAGAATAGCAAATTCTATTAGAGTTTGACCAGGAGTCGAATAATAATTTGAAATCACTGTCTTTGCTTTGTGAAACTCATTTTTGATTTCAGATTTAGACTCAAAATGCTATCTGGTTTTCACTCAAAAAATAATCAAAATTCTAGGAATTAGAAGTAAATTGAAGTTCACTGTTTGAAGAACGATGTACAGATATATGATCACTGTGTGGCTGTTTGGAACAGTCAAATAAAAAACTGAAGGAGAGATAAGGTAATCGTAAAGAGTCTGAAGGATTGAAGTTCATTCATCTGACATGCTGCTCTGTTAAAGACTCTGGCCGGCCTTATATGAGGAGTATAATGCACCAATGCCATTAGCTGCTCTTATCTCAGGGAAAGAAATTGTATATAAGGGGTGCTAGAGTAACTGGAGGAGCATGTCTCTCATCTCAACTCCTTCATCATCATGAGTGCATCAACAAGCTTGAAGCTGCGTTTGCCAACCTTCGTGTTGGTGCTGGAGGTTGAAATGATTGCACTCTACGGTATCTTCATCACCTATGACGATAACTCCAATGCGAAGCTGCAAAACAACAAGACCGACCCGATGGAGAACTCAATGTATCGGGACTACCCGTACTTTGCTGATATTCAGGTGATGATCTTCCTGGGCTTTGGTTGCCTGCTGGCCTTCTTTCGCTTCTACGGCTTCAGTGGGATGGTGTTCAACTTCCTCACAGCCACCTTAGCCATCCAGTGGGCCATCCTGATTCAAGGGTACTTCCAGTTTTACTCTGACGGTAAAATCCACTTGGGACTTATCAATCTCATAAACGCAGAATTTGCCTGTGCTGTGGTCCTCATCTCATTTGGAGCTGTGCTTGGGAAGACCGGCCCTGTTCAGCTCCTGGTCATGGCTTTGCTGGAGATTCCTATCTTTGCCGTCACCGAGTGGGCTGTACTGAAATATCTACGGATCAATGACGCAGGAGGCAGTATTCTTATTCATCGGTTTGCCTGTTACTTTGGGCTGGGGGTAACTTTTGTCCTCTAGCGCCCAAGTTTGAATAAAGGACACCCCAAAGAGACCACGAGATATAACTCCGACATCCTGTCTGTGATGGGAACGCTTTTTCTTTGGGTGTTTTGGCCTTCATTTAACTCTGCTCTCACATTTAAAGGTGACGACCAGCACAGAGCCGTACTCCACACATTCAGCCTGAGCTCATCCACTATCACTGCCTCATTACTGTTTAAACTTTACCTTTAATAACATAAAGTTATCTAATTTTTAAAGTGCAATCAGTAATACTTTTATAACAAATTCATATCAGTAATGATTTCTTGGTTAATGTCAAGTTGTCATAACAAAGACATTTTAAATAATGTCAACTTTGTATTAAAAGTGTCATAATTTACCGAATGACGCTTTATGACAACAGTCATAAATATCCATGAAGGCTTTTTCATGTTCATGACAGGTGTTATGTCATGTTTATGAAAGTGTCATGTCAGTCTTATTCAACCCCCTTCAAATAAAGTGTTACCTAAAAGTTTTATAAACCTGCAACAAAACTCTAATGAGTTTCTGCACTGTCGATAAAGTAATGCACACTTTAAAAATTAACCAATTTGATTTGAGTTCACCTGACATTTTTAAGAAAGCAGAAGAACTTAAAAAGCTTTCTCTGGTCCAGATTCCCATTGTTGCCATTGCTTGCTCTGTCACACTTTTAAATGGTCTAAACAAATCATTCAGTATGAAACATATTTTATTTAACCAGCAATTTAACAAAAGTATTCAAAGAATTTGTATTTATAGGCATCATTCCCATAGAACATTCCTACAAGTAATGAACATAAAGGAGTGAAAAGTTGCACTTAAACTAAAATTAATACATTAATACATGTACAGATATAATAGATCCATTTAGTAGTTCTCAGTTTGCTTCAAGTTATCCTGTTGGTTTCATTAGGTGGTTATTTTTTATTTTTCAGAATTTGTACCTTGAATTAAAATGCATTCTAATTTAATTATACTAGACTGAATGGTAATGACCTGTTCTCGTGTCCTGAGTATAACTGGGGCTGAATAACACTTCGAGTGATGTCCTTCACTGCTGCAAGCAGGCTGTCAGTTCAATGTGGTGACAAATAGCGCCCTCCTGTGGTGGCAGGTGAAGCTTTTAAAACGTCCTCCATCCTCCTCTGAGCGTCAACAGGTCGTCTCAGAGATGGTTTGCGTAGCCTTCTTCACCGTCCGCAGTGTCGACTATTTTGGCTCGCTGGGTTTGCACGGAGGCGTACAGATCCGACATGGTGGAGACAGCATCATCTATGGTAACAGGTTCCTCCGTCTCTGCCTCTCCGGTTTCCTCTGTCTCCTCTAAATGCACAATATCTGAGACCAGGATCTGTGGAGAGATGCGCCCAGACTGTGGCCTGGGAGCCTTCAGGGTCAGGTTGGCGTAGCATTCCTGACTTTTGGACTGGAAGGACACAAAAAATAAAAATAATTTCAGTATTTGGTAGATAAATACTTTATTCAGTGGAGAACCTGTAAAGGCTCTACCTGTGAGTCAGGATGGATCCTGTGTGCAATCCTTAAAGATGAAGAGCTCAGTGAGGAGTGAAGAGGAGCGGGATCTGTGTACACAGCTACACCTGTTGACAACATTACAATTTATTTAAAATATTTCTGCCAACATGTGAATACACACAGCTGCACACGGAGTACCTACTTGCATCCATGTAGCTTAGATTCCCATAAATTGGATTATCTTCCATTTGTCTGGAACTCCGACTTAAATTTTAGAGAAAAGGATGAAAAAGGTCCATGAGTTTCTTCTTGTTTAGTCAAAGGAAAGAGCTTGACTTAATCTAAACATAAGTTACATAATCTAAACATAAATTACATAATCTAAACATAAATTACATAATCTAAACATAAGTTACATACCTTCGTCTCTTCCTGCACTGACATCTTCCTTTCCCTGTCGCAACATAAATAATCATTTATTCTCCATAAAAAAAATACCACTTTTCCTTTGATGTATGAAAGAAAACATGATAATTACCTGAGCAGATCTTTGACAAGCAGCATGCCATGTTAAACAATAGTGATAGTGCCAGAGTGGTACCGAGGACATAGACAATGACGTGGGCATTTGATTTCAACCAATCAGAGTCTGTGAAAAAAATAAAAGCACAACTATAAGGAATGACATGCTAAATTTCCATACTTAATTCCTTTCATGTGAATTTGCAGCAGAAACATTCCACACTGATTGTTTCCTCTGACATGAAGAACCAACAATTAGCTATTGAGGAGCAAAATCTTCCATCTGTACATGTATTCTGAATATATATTTAGTTATTTGTTGTGTTTACCCGACTTGTTATGACAGCTGGCACCTCAACTTTGTATGATATACAGGCAGGACGCGAAGTTTACAAAGAAATGCCCAACCTGCTCAGTGAGGAGTCAGTGCTTACCACAAATTCACCACACCGTCAACCCTGTGCCTATTTTAGAAACAATGGCATTGTTTTGAGAGGAAATATTTAATTTAAAACACAAACAAAACAAACACGCCTTCACAGTCATTGATAAAATAAGCAATTGCTTTTGCGTTAACAATTTATCCACATTCAAATTTTAAACTAAATTTGCAGCCAAATTTAAAAATCCATTTAAACATTTAGAGGCGAGTCTCGTCTCGGGGTACAGATGAATAAATACTGAACTGAAAGAAACAAAATTGTGGCAAACTAAGTATTAGAGTCATGCACGCTGCATCCTGACAAAATGATTTACATCACAGTTCTGCTCAGTCGTCAGCAGAAGAAGATGTGGTTTCGCAGAAACTTTTGCAAAAGCATGGATGTGCAAACAACTTTTTTTTTAGATGTTGCGGGAAAACGAATTCAGCGGAGCATGCTGAATTTCTTTCCTGCCTGAAAAACCAATTCTGAAGGGGTTGGGTTATTTACTGCCCTGACATTTGTTTTACAGCACCGCTACGTTACATGACAGTTGTTAAACTATTTTACGCAGAAGCTTGAACTTATCCTACTGTCGTGAGTTGGATTTACTTAGATATGTGTTAAAGCGTAACTGACGAGAACATGAACCGTCTTTTGATTTTTTTTTTCTCCTGATTTTGAAATAGCATGACGTTTGTTATGAGAGTCATCAAATTTAAATTTAAAGATTACTTTACACAGCGTCAGACCTAAATAAGACAGAAGGTAAGTTGTCAGTAGTCAGTGTTGGGTTTGTTCCCTTCAAACACACCATTTTCTGTAGAAAACTCCTCTGAATAAATGTAACCATAACACTGATTACTAAATGTACCATGAAATACGCAGCAGAGGGCCTTAGCAGAAAAGATCTGGAGGTATCACTACGACCTAAATCTCATCAAAGCCATAAATAGAGATCTCAAAACAGCAGTGCATGCAGGGGAGCTCATGAATCTTGCAGAGCTAAGAGCTTTTGATACAAAGAATGGATGACATTAAGTCCCTTAGTGGAAAAATAATAATACAAACAGGGATTCTTGCATAAAAGAATCATTGCTATTCTGAATATCTTCACTGAAAGCCCTTTAAATAGTGCATATAAATAGTTTAAATACAATTATACAGAATAGAAAACAATAAAATAGCCACTTTTTAAGGTGAAATTACATGAAAGGCAAAAACGTCGTGCACGCAAGAAAAAATAAATTCACAATATATAAAAAATAAAAAGTTGATTTATTAATGTAGCTGAGCTGAAAATGATCCCTGGCAGACTCAGGTTTAAAGTGATACATTTTACCAACATATTTCTTCTGACTGAAAGTAACATGAATGTTTTTGAGTGATGCAGCCCAGAGTCCCATCCTGAACCTCCTAAAGATTAGGGTGATGGCCAGGAAGCCTTTCAAACTCAAGAAGTTCAAGAAAATTCATCAGAAAATAGTAGAACGGATTAATTCCTGTCATGTCAATAAAGACTTTTAAACTTGACTATCATGTCAATAAGCTACCATGAACTCAGTCAATGACATACATGGCATTTTTGTCATTGATGTGGAAAAAAAAAAAACAAATCCAGATAAATTATATATTTTTAAAATTAATTAAAACTGTAGGATTGAACAAAAAAGGATATCATTATTATCACTGTTATTATGATAAATATATATATAAAAAAAACAATTATGTCCTCATTTTGCTACACATTGTGACAAAAAAGGAAATGGAAAAGAGTGTTTAATTGCGCACATCTTCCTCTAATTTATGACCACTGAGCAATAAACAGCTACATTTAGGTTTAGATCACACTACGATGTCATTGAAAGCTTAACTCAGCGCTGTACTTGTTATAATTGTGACGAGATACGTTATAGTTTCCAAAGCATCAGAATAAAAGTTGGTATAGTGTAGGTGTGTTGAAGTTTTTGTAAGGTAACTGTTTTTTTTTCAGCGTGATAAAAGGTTTGCTATGATTTTAAACACTTGTACTTGTGCTTTACAAAACCTCATTGAATCATATGCTTCATTACAGACAAGACCTTCCTTCAGTGGAAAATATCACCATTGCTTGAGAGTGGTGTGTGTTGGTGAGAGGGGCATTTAGCAACCTTTGTGATCAACTGTGTGACCACAAACAAACAGCAATCAAGAGTTGCTGCGTCTATTTTGATCTATATCTCATATTTTTCTTTTTCCTATTTTGCAAGTTCAACGTTACTAAAACACACGAAAGCGACTGCTGCATTGGTGAACCCTAACTATGCAAAATAAAACAAGTGAATTATTAAACAACATAAAAATACAAAATCTCATGCTGCATTGAAAGTCAGCGAATTCTCGTCTGTGATCTAAAAACACTGATGGCTGAAAACTGTCTTGGTCCAGAGTTCAGGAGCTGCAGCTGCTCCACACAGCAGTCTAGACCTTGTTAGAGCTAAAAGCAAGTTATTATTAGAACCGAAGATTTCTGTGAAACGTCCCCAGAGTAAAAAAAACATAACTTTAAAATCTATCCTAGAATGAGCTGCGTGGTGTGTATTTATAAAATGAAATGTGCAACTTATCAGTCTGTTTTATTCATCCTCTTTCTTGGGATAGTTATATAATTGTTCAGGTTAAAAATAGGATTGATTTTATTTCAATCTTTGTGTTTCTTCTCTTATGGAACGTATATGTTTTCGAAAAATAAAAAAAAGCCCAGAGTTTAGTAATATAATCACTGACACTCATACTTCCTGCTTTATTGTCTGCCTTCTTGGAAAAACGTGTCTTGACTTGCCCTATAATTCACCAATAACATCGTTCCAATACAAATAGTAAACAAATTTTACAAGCAACTGCAGAAAACTAGTAATATATCTTAAGATGTATATGTCAGTTGTTTCTGTAAGCAATAAAAAAATAACTTTTTATCTGCTGTGCCACAATTCATAGTAAATACTTTTCATTTTAAACAATTTATTTTCAAAAAACTTTGTTGTATCAAAAAAACCCTAATGTATTTCATTTAACTAAATAAACCTACAAACAAACTGAACAATGTGAAACAGACAGAGACATTTGACAACTTTGATCTAAGAGTTGCACAATATAAAATGCTGGCAGGTGGTTGCGTATTTTGCTCAAAGTTTACCATATTTCACAATACGCAGTTGGTAAAATTTCCTGTTTGAGCTATTTAAGATTTTGGTAGCGCTGAATAAGTGTGAAACATTGAACAAACAATTAAACTATGAAGCTAATAAAACAATAGAGATAGTAATGTACTTTCTAAAATAAAGCAGAATAAAGTAGCATCCGTTGAAAACGTAACTTCTATACCTGCTGCGAAGCGTAATGTCTACTATTCTGTGAGAGTAGTATTAAATTCCCTAAAAATAAAGTTATGTCTCTTAAATTCTTTGCACAATTACAAAATATCTCAAGTTTGGCATTTTTAAACTAAATTTTACATTCAACTTTTGAATTTCCTGATCACTCGTGTTCCTTCTTTCAACACTTACCTTCTACTTGTGTCCGATTGTCACAATTCCCCATGGTGGAAACTGTTTTAAAATTAAATTAGCAACTCTTTAAACTGATTGTTTCGCTAGCTAGACGACTCTACAGAGTGCGATGCATGTTTCTGTTTGCACACTCTGATGGCATGCAGGAGGCTCGTCTGTGTTTTATTTTTTTCTCAGAGGGCTGTCACAGGATGTATGCTTTGCAGAAAGCCACAAGCTTTTTTTAGACTCCAAGAGCATCAAAGGAGAAAGAGGCAAGATAAACCTGAGAATCTCAGGGAGCATCTTCAGAAATACACATTGCATGTAGACTGCATGCATATGTGACCGAGGAAGAGAAAGTAGCAGTGTGCTAAATTACTGCGAAGATAACAAGATAAAACCTTATTTCACAAATATTTTATCTTCTGATTTATTTTTTATTTTTTTAGCTTTGCTTACCATCAACACTTTGTTTTGTTTGAATAATTATGACAACTTCCTAAGTTAATGTGAACGTTTAAATCTTAGATTTGATAGAAAATTGCTTAGGAATGAGTGGGTAAAGAGTATTTAGAGGAGTACAACGTCAATTTAAGATGATTATCAATGTGCCCTACAGGTTTGGGTAATACTTTATTTGAAGGAAGCGGTGTGCATAAGACTGACATGACATCTGTCATGAACATAAAGAAGTCTTTATGAATGTTTATGACAGTTGTCATGAAGTGTCATTCGGTAAATAATGAAACTTTTAATGCAAAGTTGCTTTAAAAGTTCCATTAAAAATTCATTAAAACTTCCAACTTTGCATTAAATTATCATAATTTACAAAATCGCGCAAAGTTGGGACTTTTAATGGACTTTTAATGGAACTTTTAAAGCAACTTTGCATTAAAAGTTTCATTATTTACCGAATGACACTTCATGACAACTGTCATAAACATTCATAAAGACTCGTTCATGTTTGTGACAGTGTTATGTCAGTCTTATGCACACCTCTTCAAATAAAGTGTTACCCAACAAGGTTTCTGTGACTTTAAGACCTCCAAATGTGGAAAGTCCCATTAATGGTTTGACACCTTTACCTAAAAATAGTCACCATCTGCATGAGTTTCATTTTAATTTGGGGTTTTTAGTTGTACATTTTAACTCTTCTCTTTCAACTTTTCAAAGATCATGCAACGGCAGCAGCTTCTGTAATGACGATTCTTTGAGACAACCAGAAGACAAAAGACTTTGACTGAAGAACTGAACAAGTGTAGGTTGACCAAAATGTCAAAGTCCAACAAGTTGATCTGCGGAAACCGTACACTGCAATAAAAATACACATGAAAAATGACGATGCAAAGGCTCGAAAAAGCGTAATGACATTTTCAAGCAATTATTCTCTAAACCAAACAGGGTCCAAATTATACACACATCACTTCTAACATTGTGCTAAGTGTCCAGAGAAACCAAATATACTTTTGCAGCCATCAACAAGCGTCTGGCATCTCTCTGATCGGATCTTGGATCAGCACTGAGGTCATCTAAAGAGAGGTCATGGCTGGTTGCTGCCATGAAATCAGCTTTCAAACATCCTTTTGTCCTGATTTGTCACTCTGTTGTACCCAAAAGTGAAGAGCAGAATGGGTTTTAAAGCCATTGTTAGCGTATCATAGGATAAAGCCTTGACGTTCCCTGGGTTCTTATTTAATAAAGTGACCAAATTTATTTTCTTTGTTGTTGACATTTTGAATCTGATGAGTAAAACTTCCAACAAAACCCAAACAAAGGCTGAACCCAGTCAGACAGTCATGGTGAATGCTTTCAAGAATAGACTCAACTCTACAGAAAATTTCAGATCCAGTTCTATGCCAGAAAACCACCTAATTTAAAAAAAAAACATCTCCTATTTCTGTTTATTGTTCACATTTTCAGACAGAGCACTGCACTTATGGTCACAACAGTATATAGCTTCACTGCAAATGGAAAGGGATCATTTATCCAAAAATAACATGAAACTACATGTTCACTTGAATTATAAAAAGTCAGCAATAAAATGTAACTTCTGCATCTGATTATTGCTCTTAATTGCTTTTTGT